ACGGACGGAGTTCCCATGGGGGGAAGCAGCCCATTCAGTCTTCCATGCATTTGCTGCTTCTATGCGGAGGATTCTTCGAATGCTGGCCATGAGAGTGAGCTCTTCCGCGCTGTTGGGAGCTGGAGAATTAGCAGCTTCTTTTGCAAGAGCATCAGCACATTCATTGCCATAGACACCTTCATGACCTGGGAGCCAATACAGTCATATATCTCAGCCACATTCCTGTAGTTGAGATGCAGTGCGTGCAATATCACTCAGGATATATTGGCCAGAAGACCTTCCTGGAGCTGAGCATGCTTGTATTGCTGCCTGGTTGTCTGTGAAGATGGTTGCTGTACGGGTCTGATAGGAACATTGTGATTCCAGTCCACTTGAGTTGCGTATTTGGGTAAGCGCCATCTTTATGCCCTGTAATTCTGCTGCATATACAGTGTGGGTAGCTTGAGAGCCAATGCGAACTGCTTGGCGCCCCAGAGGTGAAACTACTGCTGCTCCAACTCCCTGTTCTGTCAAGCTGCCGTCTGTGTACACAATGGTATCAGCTCTGCTGTGTAAGATGGCATTGTGAGTTGCAAGAGCAGCTTCCCGAGTTTCTGCTATATGGGGTTTCAGACCTGCCCACCAAGGCGGGGTCACATGTGGGTGTATAATCTCCAGCTTGTCCTGAGAAATTGCGGTTCGTCGCTCCCATCGTTCTAATGGTGATGTTAAAGGGTTATGGTCTGGGCTGGTGGCCCATCGCATGCGTCGCTCCCTTGCGTTCCTTGGCGCTGGTCGTTGGCCGGAATGTCGTATCTTGCTGAGGGTGGCCATATATTTCCTGGGATATTAGTGTATTCAATGCATATTTGCTAGCTGGTTTACTGGCTACAGAAGCAAGTAGACCGCATTCGCAGGGCTCAAATATGTGGTTATTGTGTGAAGATGAATTAAAGGATGAGAGGATGCATTGAAAAGAAGACTATGTTTTCAGTATCGAACTTGCCGTCTATTAGCGTTGTGTTATTCAAGGAGCACCGATACAAAACAAAACGTGCAGGCTATGTAATTGTATTTCTGCAGCTATAACCCTTAACAGTTGTCCCATATATTCCATTACTAACCCCCATTTTAGCACCACATAGCTCAAATTCGAGCAGCATCAAAACCAGCTAATTCAGCGCAATCTCACAGAGGGTAAATAAACTTGAGATTATCCCTGTCAGTCTTGTCCAAATCCCGCTCCCCAATCTTGACGATCTCGCTTCCTGTATCAATAGCTTCATCCCCTTCCGAATCCATTTCTTTCTCGGCGAGAAGTCGTTCACGACATCGATTTTCGCGCTGGAGATAGAAACGAATAATGATACACATCGCCGGAGAAATGAACCAGAATGCCGTCATAAAGGCCCATGGTAGTACATAGCGCGGTTTGTATTTTGGTTGCCAGAATCTGGTTTCCCCCCTCGGTGTCAGTTTAATATTTTCTTCATGCCATTGTTGTACTTGGAATACTCACTCAGGCGAGATCATCTTGGCAACGGATGCAGCCACAATACATGAGGTCATCAAAGTAAGTTTCTTCGTGTGGCCTGTGGTAGTCGTTCCAGCCCAATTGAGGCCGAGAAGATAAGAGGGTTTGAATGTCGAGATCTGAGTTCCGACTACCAAGGCTACTTTGTTGGACCAAGGGGACGCCAACTGTATAGCCCCACCATTAGCGACTGGGCAAGGTTCTCAAATTGAACCGGCTCACCTCGATAATACCACCAACAAAGCAGGGAATGTAAGAAATAGCACATGTATATCCGGTTCCAAGTCTGGTGCTGTATAGCAAAGTCGCCGAGCCAAGGATCAGGATAAAACCCCAGAGTGGCTTGATTATATTGAAAAGGGCACTTTCGGCTGGTGTAAAGCCGAATCCGACGACGATTAGAGGTAATTGTTGCGATGTATTATTCGGGAGTTCGTTGAAGAACATGTGGAAACTAAGAAAACCTAGGAGTTAGTGAGCATTTCCTTGTTAATAAAGGAAAAGGGGATCTCACATGAACAGCCAACTCTTCAAGTCAGTAAAAGATTCCCGTACCTGAGACCACTTGAAGGTCGAGTTGGTAACTCCAGCATGGGTCTCACGAATAATCTGAATTGTATGGACCTTCTCCTCGATCGAAAGCCACTTAGCGTCCAGGGGGGAGTTGGGAAGGAAAATAAGGAGAGGGACAAAAATAGCAAAGGTCAAGACAGCACAGATAATATGAAGCCACTTCCACGAGTTTATGTTGCCAGCCAGAACGCCCGTATTGTCATCAAGAATGAGTTTATATGCAATCATTGTAAGCATGACGTTGGCTATACTTCCAAATGCCCACCACAGTAGCTGCACCCACGGGCTCTTCTTTGGCGGAAAGAAAGCCTGATGCAGAACGGCCGTTGAAGGGATAATCTGGGACTCTGTCTATTTTCCCGTCAGCCTAATGTTGGGAGCATATGGAGACGATCAGACCTACCATTCCCAAAAGAAACCGTACCGCCTTCATCTGTTTTCCTGTCTTGACAGCAGGATGGACACCTATAAAAAGAGCCCAGAGAAAAAGTGAGCCTGTGATGAAGTGCTTGTGCCCAATGCGCTGCGATATCCAAGCACCCGGCCAGAGTGCAACGAGATAGCCGGCATAGAACAGGATGAAAAGCTCATTGTACTCATCCTTGGTCATCTCAACATCCTTGAAAATTCCCATGGTACTGGCTTGGGAGAGAGTCGACTTATCAAGATGGATCAGGAAGGAAATCCACCATGTCTGGATGAGCAGGAACCAGAAGTTTTTGCGGATAACTTTCCTCTCGAGCTCAGAAGTCACAGGTCTGACCTTGTCTTTGTTCTTGTTGTAGAATATCGTCGTGTCATCGGCATCCCGTTCATCCACTACCTGTGGATGATGAGAAGGTTCATCGGCTGCCACTCGCGCCTGGTCGTTAATTCCGTGCTTCATGTCAGCAGACCCTAACATGATGGTATTCTCAATCCAACCACAGAGGAACAAGCAAGAAAGAATAACGGCATGGTTGTCAGGTACCCGTATCAGGTCAGATATAAATCTCAGTAAACGACTGCGCCTGTCTCGGGACAACCCGATTCACCTGGGATTAGCTTTCACCAAGGTTCCCAGTAACCCCCTGGCAATTTCTTGTTTGTCTTGGCGCACCCAAGGCTGACACTCTGTAGGCGGGTGACAATGCCAGCACTGGTACCTTGTTAGCAAGTATCCCGTCGATCAAGGCAAGCACCATATAGTCCGCTCTTGGCTCGTATTTCCGCGACAGCTTGGCTGCATCGGGGGGGACCTTGGGGGTTTACAATGTCTCGAGATTGGATGGTCATGAATGGCTGGAACTCACGGAACAGAGGAGCCTTACGCTCAGATATTTCATTTACCGCGACTGTCACCGCAAAAGTCTATATACTAAAATGTCTATGTCTTTTATATACGGGTTAGGAAACCAAAGAGGAAAATAGAAATAGATTCGGAAATAGATTCACAAACCTAGATATGTTACATGCGTTGCCCTCTCCATCAGGAGATGTGTGAAATATCCCGCGGTCCACCGGGACCTTCTTCGAGACCATTCCTTCGCGGGACCTCCGGCCGCCAGCGCCAGAATGGGCGCATGTACGATGCGCTTTGATCGCCATGTTCTATAATATCTGCGGCATGCTGTCGAACATTGGTCAGCTGGAGGTCACGAGAAACAAATGGGGAAATTTACTTACCTCGCCAAGAACTGGAAGGAATTTTGCCCCATGGCCACTTCCTCCAGTACAAACGAAGACGGAGTTTTCCGCATAGGTTGGAACGTAGTCGATCTGTCGTTATACATGGTCAGTGTATAGGGTAGACTTATTATACCAGCAAGATGCTAACCAAAAAGGAATTGTCCAGCGAGTCTGTATACCAGCAGAGCTTCGTAGAGTCAAAGGGGACACCACTGAATTCAGGTAAAAATATTGAAACAAACTGTTTGATGGCATAAAGAGCAGGTTCCTGGAGCTGAGAGCACATTTCTGGCGGAAGAGGCACTGACCACTGGCCATCTTGCGTGAACGGAGTACTCTCAGGTGCTGGCTGGAAATTGGTGAACTGGATGGAAATTGATCAGCAAATATCAACAAAACATGATTATCCTTTCTAACTTTGATTCCACGATATCCAATCTTCAACAAGCCCTCTGGAGTACGTGGCAAGACATAGATACTGCCGGTGTCCTTGCCAGAACTGTCTCGAGGAACACTTTTCCATGTCATCACAGGAAACCTCTCGGGTGAATACTTGTCCCACAGCTCGGTATTCGCCGGATCAATCTTGAATGTAGCAAGGCTTCCTGCCGAAGACTCAAGAAAATAACTCAACTCAGGAAGAATCTGTGTTGAAAATGATCCGGCTTTACTCATCAGCGAGCGCATGACCATATGAGGAGATGCTATAGCTTACCAGCAACGACCACCACATCTGCATTGTGCAATTTGCCATCTTTCGATTTGATCCCTGTCACTCTCTCCTTGTCAGAGTGGACGCCACTACTCGACTTGACAAGTGACTTGACAGCTCCCTTATCCGGACCAAAGCAGAATTCCACACCCTTGTCGGCAGCAATATTCTGATAGTATGCACAGGCATTACTGCATCTCACGAATCCGGCCAGTGAATCCAAGACCGCCTCATAGGTGCTTGCGGGTGAAGATTGCGGGATCTCAAAGTCAAGTAGTTTGTCCTTCCAGCCCAGCTGCTCAGCGCGTCGATGGTCCTCGGGTTTGCCTTTGATAAATTGCGTGTCTCGCAGACCATCCCGCTCCATGTTGGCCAATGTTTCCTTTTCAAGAGCACCCAGGACATCCGATGGTTGTACTCGAAGCATTCCGCTACCGACAAATAGTCTCTGGTCATTTGAGAGATCGCTCTGCTCCGAGAAACCATGTTTTTCATCCCCCAGCACCCACGCCTTCCGAGCCTCTATGGCGAGACGTTGGTAATGAAGCTTTGTCCCGTATGAGGCACGAAACTGTATTGTATGTATCATTAGTACCACTCAGGAACTACCATCAACCGACTCACAATCTTGTTGTGGTCAACAGACGCAGCCTGTACACCATCGGCTGCGGGATCGTATCCATTTTCATCATACTGGCTTCGGTCGAATACAGTGACCTTATAATCTGCGACAGTATAAGCAAAGGTCATTTATCCCTCTCCCATGATTCTGTCTTACTTCTATCCTGCAACGCGACGGCCAGCGAAAGACCGAAAATGCCGGCTACGAGATTGATCAGTTGACTTGATTAGAATTGGTTAAACTGCACTTACCTCCGATTATGGCAACGGACTTAGACTCTGCCATTTTCTACTTGCTGTGGTTTCTTCGTCTTCCTTGGGGATATTTGCAAGTGCGGGCAACTTCTGTCGATAATGAGTCCCCGCAGCAAAGCCAAGAAACGCCGCCCACAGGGTACTTCCCCATGAGAGAGCAACACAAGTCTGTGATCAAATTACAAGTGCGGAACTATACCTTGGGATGTGAACCTACGCCTAGTGGTTTTCTTGGCAACAGTGTTTCGCATTTTGCGATGTTCGGCGCTGAGGACATCAAAGGTCTGCGAGACTACGACGCAACGAGCAATGGCAATATGGATTACCTTGAAGGTATCTGGTTGGGTATAAGGGCTTGCCGTTCTCACTGCCAGGCGATGAGGGGGCTTTGGTGTATGGTGTTGATGGCAAATTAATGAGGATGCTGTTTGCCAGGTGTGATTTGTTTGCAGATATTAAGAGGGCTACAGGGGCGGTGGGAGTTAGACAGTTTAAGATTCGGTAAGTCGGACTCGGGAGTGGTCTCATTAAGGTACAATTGCATTATTCATCTAGATGATTAACTAGTTATACGGGTAGTTTCCCATCCCGATCAGGAATCTTCATAGGTCTCGCCTGCCAGGCTTACATTTTTGTTTCCGTAAACGCTCCGTCACATGCCATCAGTGCCGTATTGAATAATTGATTGGAATCTGTCTATTTGCCGAAATTCGCTTGGAGTTGGAAAAGGACAGCCAATGATTAGTGACTCTAGCAAGCTAGTGGATCAGAAGGATATCAGTGTCACGGAGCATGGACGCTCTCTAGCTGTATAGCATATTTTCTTACTTTGGTCTGATTGGGGTAGGGCATTCACTGAGCATGAACGCTCGCTAGCCGTATAGCATGTTTGATTGCTTTGTCCTGTTTAGAGTAGGGCAACAACCCCTCGCACACACACTAGATAGTCTGTCGCCGGCAGGCCTGCCTCTTTCCTTTCCCTCCTCATGTTAGAATTTCGTCAGATAGTCTACCAATAGATTCATATTGCTCGAAACCGTCACACTTTGGCGGAATTGTCTAGCATTCCCAGAAGCTCAGCTGCCGCTTCGATCCTAATTATGGTTGGCAGTCTAATGGTCTCATTGGACATTTTGAGGTCGTTACTAGCAATATAATGAAAGGAAACGAGTTATGAGCGGTGTTCTGGTAAACCAAGTTTCTAATGTGTTTCGTTGCATTGATGTCTATTTTCCCGGGCATTCTGTTTTGCCTTTCCTTATTTCGCTTAATCATTATATAGTTAACTAAAACAGCGAGGAAAAAAGCGCCCGCTGTTCGGGTGAGTTCAGAGCGGCACTGCTCAACTACTAAAACAAGAAGGGCAGGCGTCAGGGTACTTGTAGATTTTTGCTCGGTAGGATTTTCTTGGTAGAGGTTGCTTATGTATCCTCAGCTAACTCCGGGCAATAGCTTATCTCCGGTCTGGTTTCTGAAGTTATGATGTAGTCTTGTTTTATCTCCGGCTGATTCCGCAATGACAGAAATTATGATGATTATACATGAATTCACAACTAGTTATCATTCATAACAACACCCTGTTAGTCAATCGGGTCATTCTGGGTACAATCTTTCATAAATGGGACGCATAAAATCGCTAATTCATCTTAATAGAAAAATGACATTGATTTGTACATAGCAATATTCACCGTGCACCAAAGTCCAAAAGAAATCCTTCATACCAATTTCGAAAACCTATTGGACCAGGCACGGCCACTAAAAGATACAGGTCCACACCAGGAAACCAACACAGCGGCATACCTGGGGTAAGGTAGACAGGAAGACGCAAGTCTGCACACAGCTGCTGCCATGTCCTGTGTACACATGGGGGTCTCGTTGATTGATTGCCGGGGTCAATCTGCAGTACGGGACTTGCTCGGGTCGATCCGACTTGCGTTCGAGTTGTTGAAAATAGGCTTTATCGAAATAGAATACCTTAGCCGATTCGTTGTTTCCGCCTCACCCAAACCTCCTTGTCGGTGCTGTCAGTCGATGTCTTGGGGTCACGCAGCTGCACCTCCCAAATCTTAAGCTTGTAGTTGCCACGGTCTGCCTGCCCAGAGAAGATGTCAAAAGACCAGGCGTGCTTGGGACATGTAATTCCGGCGCTGAGGGTGATGCCGAAGTCTTCAATGTCAAAGAGACTACCCTGTGAAAGGGGGAATGATTGGTGAGGGCATTGCTGGAAGGGTCAGTTTGTGATTTTGATCTAATCTAGATAGCCCGTCTCAACTTACATGATCAATGGCATGGACTTTCCCCTTATACTTGAACACGAGGACCTGGTCTTTCAAGTCTTCTCCTGGTAGATTAATGTCTGCTTCAACCGGAGCATCCTGTGGACCGGCTGTCTTGGGGATGGTGAAAGCTTTGCATGCTTGCGTGATCTGACAATCTTCATTGTCTAAGCTGAGGTCAGGAAGCGCGGAAGCAAGGCCAACCGGGTGCCAGGCTGCACCTGGCTGCGATGGTCGTCCAAAGTTAAAGAAGTTCATCGCTGGTATTAAATAATGAGGTTCATCGCAGTTTGTGCCTCTCCTCGGCTGTTCCCACTATGGTGGGCTATGGCTACTCCTATTGGTTATTGGAAGTTCGGCGCGTGAAATTTTATCCATTCCCCTACCCCTGGGGTATACATAGGTGTAAATGTTTTATTTATCAAAGTAACTATGCGCTATGTACAATTTTTGAGAAACGATCTTGGATGTATTATAATTTGTCGATCGGTACGGACGCTGGCGGCGAACGTTTGTAGATATAGCCAAGATTGTCGCCCTTCCTTCCAGTGTAAGTAAAAATGCGAGACCTAGATCCAGAATCAGCTGAACATGTGCTATCCGGCATGACAGTACTTACACTTTAGTCGTTTGCAATCTTGAGAAAATGGAACTCATATCCGTCTGTAGGAACCCCGTAGTCAATCCGCAATCGCGTTCGTTCTACCTTCCCTGAGCCTCCACTGATGGACTGCCTAGTCCGTGTGAGAACGGGAGAATGAAGAGACGGTAGCAAAGGTTAGGGACCTACCCATTTTGTTGCGAGAAGACTCAGCGCAGTGCCTAATGTACGCTCTGGGCAGTTTCACGCCTTTTTCAATATAATATCCACGCAGACTTGCATAACAGCGGTAAAAGCCCTGGTGTCGCACATCGTCATGTACGGTCTTGCTCCATTGTCACGACGGGTAAAGAATGGCGTCTTAAATGAAATGTCTAGCCGCTTAGTGATGCCGTTGGCCAGGTTTCTTTCGTCCTGTGTGCTTTCGAACGATGACTTGCCTCTAGGGCGAACTTGAAGGGAGTGGCAGGGGCGTAGCGGATATCCCATTTGGCAGTTCTTGTGTCTTGATCGATAGAATGACCATGCGAACACGTACATGGCTATTCTCAAACTACCAGCAGGCATCTTCACATCTGTCTCGGTAAGCCCCGTCTCAATGACGAGGGTCAGCCTCTGGTAATGCTCGAAAGTTGTTGGGAACTGCTAATATTTCCATAATCAGGCATTTTGCTAGCCGCATTTTGAACGGCTTGTGGTGCTGTGAACTCGGTTTCGGTCTTAGGTGTGGTGGAAATTCTCGTCTTCTCCTTTGAACCTGCATACTGGACCCAGACTGATTATGACTTCTACACGTATCTTCGCGCTTTATCAACATTTGAGTTGGCTGAGTGTGGTAACCTTTTTGCAATCACACGAAGAGAAGCGTGGCTCCCATATGTGCACCTTTTAGAGTCTTCATGCAGCGAATATGCATGTAGACCATTGTCGCAGTGATGCGCTGAGAGTAATATCTCGTTCGCCATCAACTGATGGTGAGGTAGCACTGTACACAACAGGACAACTCTGCAGGGCAGGTAAAATTGGTGATCTTCATGCAGTATAGCTGCTTAGATCAACGCATCCTCGCGCGGGCCTATGTCGATGGTCTCCATGGCTTTTCGGGCCATCGAACTCTCAGCCAGTATGCGGCATTTGTCGTTAATTCTGTATGGCTTTAAAGTCTCGTTGTCCTTTCGTGTATATTGGCACAATCTGTTGGATGTCGGTTGAGAAACGGCCACACCCATCTGGGTCGTTCGATGATAAAGGTTTAACGGCCATTTCCCTACCGTTTTTGGTTGCAGTCTTTCCATGAGGTGTTAAACATACTCTTCACAGCTTCGGAAAATGTCTGAGCCAAGTTTGCATCTCCGCGCAGCCTGTGGATAGGGAGAGTCCCATTTCATCAGATTAGCCCAGGGTCCGTTGAAAACCATCGTACTCCGATTCCGCTATCTCTCTCAGACTGAATGTTCCCAGCTTCTATCTGGCATGACGATAACGCGCGTACTATATCCAACGAGATTTGCCAACGAATTCAAGGATACTAGATGTCTCCATCCATTTCCCACAACCACAAAAGGACCGGCCAGTTACCAGGTCCCCATAAACCGTGTCTTTTATATTAGCACAGATACTTCGTTCTCGAAATTGTAGGTCGATGGGGGATCTTCAACGCTTTCCAATGACTTTAATACCAGTCCAGTGGATCTTAATCCCCAAGTTCAACAATCGTGTTTAGCGTTAAAAGGTTCGATTCCGTTGTGTTGTTAGTCCCATTTCTTCATTAACCGTTCTGTTCTCCGTTAAATCGTAACGAGTGGTGTTGTTGTATCAAACATATCGATCAAAAAGGTATCATGGTCTCAACGCAGTGCGTAGATTACTGGAATCGTGCTCGATCCAAACCTTGGAAAATAGGAGAGTCCCTTGGGAATGTGACGCATAGCGACAGTGGGAATGTCTCACATGCATGGCAATAGTGGCTCGTTTCCTGGAGTACCTAACCACCTCAGATGAAAACATCAAGGAAGTGGGGAATGAAAGTGGGTGTAGGCGAAGAGCAGAAAGTCAACCTGTGGAAGGAAACGCAAGTACGACAAGAAAGCTCACTTTGAAGATCTCTCATGTTTACTTAGATATTCACTTGCAATACAAGCTAGGCTATTCACAGTTACTCGGAACAGAAAAGAATTAGGACATTGAAGTAGGGCACCTTTATGACGCCATGAGCGGAATACATCTTCCGCAGCATCACCTCCAACGACGATTATAAATAGAGCAGAACCATAACCAAGAATTAATCTTTGAAGATTCGAGAAATCCTTTCTCTGACATTACTCTCAGATATTTCTGCATCTAAGAATACACACCTTCAACAAGACGCATAATGTCCCACCTAACCTACTACAACTACCCGGGCGTCGGCGAACGCAACGCCCAGAACTTCAAATATAGCCAAGCAGTCCGCATAGGCGATCGAATCGAGTGTTCGGGACAGGGTACCTCCCCTCCCCTCCTTCCCTCCCATCTCCTCCTATCCCTATAAGCCCTCGCTAACAAGTTCAGGCGGCTGGAACCCCCAAACAGGAGAATTCCCCCGCGAAATCAACGCCCAAATCGCCCAAGCCTTCGCAAACGTGGACCTAGCCCTGCGCACCGCCGGCGGAAAAGGCTGGGCCCAGGTGTTCCGGGTGAATTCTTACCATGTGCCGATTAACAATGAGGCGCTGGAGGCTATGGTGAGGGGATTCAAAGAGTGGGTGCCGGGGCATGAGCCGTTGTGGACTTGTGTGGGGGTTTCGAGGTTGGGGGAGGATGATATGAGGGTTGAGATTGAGGTTGTTGCGCATGATCCGGGGTCTTAGGTTTGGTTTTGGATGGGTATTTTGGGTAGATTGGGGTTGGATCGGGTGGTCTAGAGCGGTTATTGTGATGTACTGTGCCGTGTCTTGGCTGCGACGGTAATTTACCAGACTACGCTGTTAGTTGACGGAGTACTGGATTGATAATAGTGAGAACAAGTAACTAATTGAAGGAACGTGGGTATCTAGATACAAGCAAGATCTATAGATCTATTGACCTTAAGTCAAATGCGCAAAAAAAAAAAATCAATATACAATAAACGCTGACAATTCGTCCACTCGTTAACGCTCAACGCCGGAATATAGGCGGAAAAAAAGAAATGTTGTCATGTTTAAGCATGACGGAAAGGCTCATAAGCGTTCGCGTTTCCGTGGGTAGGAGGAGGCGGAGGGTACGAGGTGTCATGCGAGTAAGGGCCGTACGGAGATGTAGAACGACCCTGGGGACCGAGAGGCTCGTAGGTGTAGGGAGCCTTTTCAGCCGTGATACCACCGGACGTGTCCTTCTTGTGGTTGTAAGGCGAGCGACCGGAGCAGCAGCACGAGCTGATGATCCAGAACAGACTGGCGGCGAGAGAGAAGGCGACGGCCAACCAGGTGGTTGCAAGCATGTTCTTTCCCATGGAGCCCTTGACGCCGTAAGAGCTGAGCTCCTCGTTGAACATGGGAGTCAGGACGGCAAAGAGTGCCGTGGAGGTGGCAGAAGCGGCAGCGATGAAGAAGAACGCCACACCGGCAATCAGACTGGTGATGCAGCTACCCCAGCGACTGCAGATAGCGAAGAGACCGACGACCAGCTCGACAATGGTGGCGATAAAGGCGATGATATAGGCGATAAACATCCACTTGGAAACACTCTTGTAGGTGGACAAGGCCTTGCCAATGCCGTCGGGAAGCTGGCTCTCGACGCCGGTGCTCTGCAGACCCCAGACTTCGAAGGGGTTGAAGTAGAAAGCGGCCTTGGGCTTGGAGCAGGAAGAGGTGTCATATTTGTTGCTGCTGGTGACATTTCCGTCGCAGTAGCCCCAGAGACCGACGGTGTAGAAATCAGCAAGGTTCAACTGGTCGGAAGCCTCGTCCATGATGGAGGACAGGTTGGAGCTGGAAGCATCGATACCGGCATCGCTGAGAAGCGAGGATACTTTTGATTTTGTTTCGGATGAAGTGGTGAAGTTTTGCAAGTCGGCCTGACTCGTTAGCATTATTTCATTTTGGGGAAGACAGTAGAACATACCCTAAAGAAGTAGAGGTTGTTGAGGGTGGAAGAACCAGAGTTGGTACAGCCCAAGCCCACCATAATAATGCATACTAACGATGCGATGGTGAGCACATAGGGAGTGAAGATGCAAATAGCACGACCGGCTTTGCCCATGATTGCGGTTGTAATGAGTTTAGGAGGATTGTACAAAAGACAGTTTCTTGAGAAACAGAGAGGTTGAAGGATGGATGATGAGAGAAACAACAGCAGCGAGGATGAGTTTTAACTGTTGCCAGCCCGATTGATCGGCATAAGCTCCACATCCCTTCCTTTGCGGAGGCGCAGGCCCTATCAACCAATGACAAGGCGTGTCAGGTGCTACGCCACGCGTGCTTCTATTTTGGGTGGTTGGCAGGGCTGTGCTTCCCGTGATTGGGTCGATTTACCACAATCTTGACGGCTGGTCCGCTTACTAACTGTTTATTTTTTTCTTTTTTTCTTTTTTTTTTCTTTTTTTGTCTTTTTTTCTTTTCTTTTCTTTTTTTCGCGTTACTTTTCCCTTGGAACAATAGAATATTAAAAGGTGTATTCTGTACAGAGTGAGTAGAGAAGGGACACTGACCAAGGAATGTGCATGTGCAGGTGTCAGTAGTGTAATTGCGTGGCATGCTGACCGACAACCTTGGCAATCGAACAGTTGTTCGTATTTGGGTTGCTACATAGTACCAATAATGAAGATCACCAGCATACGTAGTGATATACAGCTGCCTTGAGGCTCTGTCAAAAACTCTGTTGGCGGGGCTGGCACGGCATCGTTCGTAGGGCTTTTTAGAATGCTTACGTCTCTCCCAGCCCCATCCCATTGCGTTAATCAAGGAAATACTCCGAACACCAACTGGGGCCATTTTAAATGTTATGCCTAATCAAGTGTTACATATGTTGGTTACCCGAATTGGCATAGCTTACCTGTTTGGGAATCTGCCTTGTCATCTAACCTTGACTTTATCACACAAAGAATGAAGATCTCAATCTCAACTTCGCTTAGCTGCCCTCTACTCTGTACCTCATGATTCAGTATGGCCATTGTTTAGGCTTCCCTTGTCCGGCTATGACGCTCAGCAATGATCTCTCGAGGGGGCCAAAATATCATGAAGGTCGGTCTTCTTTCCAGATAGTACAATGCATTCCTCCAGCAAGGATAACTGGAAAGGATCAAAATCTAACTAAGAAATATGAGTTTTTATTGTATTCTATCTGATCCGTCTGAAATTTCCGCCCACAAATCGCGCAACCTAAGATATATATCCGAGCAATGTGGTTGACATATAAGTACTATCCAAGGTGATCTGTCTAGAACATTGCAAAAGCTAATGATGCATATTTCCCCAGAATCCCCGGGGCGAAGCCAACCTGGAGCAGAGCCCGATGATGAAAGATCAATTCACCGTAGTATGACATCGCAATTGCACCAGATTCACTGCACTACATTCCAAGTACACCATAAAGTAAGGCATGACGTCTTACACATTCCTCATTAAGCATGACTGCAAACTTTGAAAACATCCCCATACTGCATGGATTCATAGATGGTTGATTGCTGTTATGTGAACTACGAGACCTGAGCGAGCCACGAGGTCAATCTGCAAAACTAGGCTCAATATCCGCGAGTCCGCCTCTGCGCTGGCTTTCTTGTCAACTGTGAGGTTATCTCGGCTGTCTTTTGAATGTCTTCTGCTGCATAAGAACAACCGTGACAGTCCACCCTCCCAAGTTCGACTTAGTTCAGTGAAGCCCGAGGGAAGATTACTCGCCACTGCGTCAATGATCAACCATTTGGTTTATTCAAACTCAAAACAGGGCGCTCCCAGTTTTAATCATGTCTACGATCGTGCATGATTGCCACTAGGAATGGCTATACAAGCAGAAGCCCGGTCGATAATTCTGTCGATATGTGATTGAACAAGTGTTCAAACACCTCCATACGTGGACAGCTCATCTGATACCAATGGAAACCAACGTATTATACGAATTTGCGAGACGGTGCAATATCCCAAGACCACAATGCCCAAAACAAAGGTTGAATAACATGACTGAATTCTCTACAAAGGCCACTTCTTATGGTGACTTTAGGCTTTAAAAAACAGCCACTAATGATTCTTTCCAAAGGCTGGATGAGAGTGGGTCACGCAAGAAGCAAGCTGCTTTTCTGGGATGCATGAACGCAAGCTTGGAGTGTGTCACAACCAGAGAAGACCAACATACTGTATGTAGCAGATGGAGAGGAAAATTTACACTACTTGGCCACATAGCATGAAGTATCAACCCAAAATGTCCCCATTCGTGGTGTGATACCAAAAAGCCAGCTACGCGGTCCGTCACCGATCGACATGATAGTCCGCGTCAACATCAGTGGGTCTCTATATAAAGATCAACCACAGCCTTGTGGACTAGTCATCGACCGTGTAGCAGCACGGACATCTACGGACGAACTGCTACAGCGGGAATAGTCTGGAGTAATTATAGTACGGTCTACGCTGTGGGAATGAAATGGAATGTCTCAAGTTATCAATGATAGCAAGTTTGATTAACTTCTAGACTAATCTATCGTAGTTAGCCTTACTATCAAGATATCGCAAGATCGCCTCGCCCATGAATGGCGATCAACGGGGCTCAGCAAGCTTAACGAATACCTCAGTCATCGGTACACTCGAAGTAATCCACACAGTAGCCGTAGCAGTAGCCGTAGCAGTAGCCGTAGCAGTAGCCGTAGCAGTAGCCGTAGCAGTA